CAAAAGTGTTTGATTCTTTCATGGCATCTGCATGTGTCCACTTACAAATGGACATGTTTTCATGTTATTAAACAGATGCAATCACATGAGAGACATCCCACCATCTCCCCTGCTTCTTTTCAGTTTTATCTAATTGCTGTAAGGAAATAGTTGATCTATTTTGCTGATTTGTAGTATTTTACAGTCTTCATCTTCAGCCCATTCATTTGTTCCCATTTCTTTGGGCATCCCCTGCCCCCGCCTAACCATGTCAGAGGACAGCCTCAGGGGTCAGGTCTTCCACCCTGACAGGACATGCTAGGCTATCTGTCCTTGAATTTCTCTAGTAATTCTCCGGCTCTGACTCCTGTCTCACGAGAGACTGCAGATTCACGCCACCCTCTCTGGCTTGTATGCGGGTTCTTGGTATTTGCACTCAGGTCCTCAAACTGAGACATTCCCTCAGTCTTTTGGGGGGATTTCTTGGTGCTCCCTAACAGCCTCGTGTGCTGGCCTCACTTCACCCCACACCTTGCTCTTTGAGCCCCGTACACCTCCCCCGGACGGTTATGGGCATTTCAAACCGTCAAACTGTCCAGAATAGCACACAAGCATCCTATTGCCCTGAGACAGATTCCCTTTCAGCATCCCAGTGCCTCCCATTTCCTGTCTTCCAGACCTCAACCCCAGGACACCCTCTGCTGCCACTGAGCTCAGCCCTCTCTTTTCTGGCCCAGGACTGACCTCACCTAGTCCCACCCCAGGTCATCCCTGGTCTATTCCAGTGACCTGTCGCCACCCCACCTCATATGCATGCACGTGCTCTGGACAGAACTCCACCACACCTGCTGAAGAGCCATGCATGGCCCAGGTGGACCGGAAGCCCCAGATCCTTGTTTGTGAACTTTTGTTTATAAAGAGAGGCTCAGCTGGGCATAGTAGCACATGCCTATTATCCTAGCACTAGAGAGACAGAAACAGAAAGACTGAGTTCAAGACCAGCCTGGTCTACAGAGGTGAGACTGTCTCAAAAATCAAGCATGGATCTGGAGAGACAGATGTCCTAGCAGTTGAGAGCATTGGTTGCTCTTCCAAAGGACAATGACTGGATCCCCGGCAGTCACAATGGTGGCTCACAACCTTCTTTAACTCCAGTCCCAGGGCATCTGATGCCTGTTCTGGCTTCCATGTGCACCAAGTGTACAAGTGCTGCTCAGACATATACATAAGCAAAACACCTATAAGGGTAAAATAAAATTTAAAAATTTAAAAAAAAAGAAAGAATTTTTGGGCTGGGTGGTGGTGGCGCACGCCTTTAATCCCAGCACTCAGGAGACAGAGGCAGGCTAGTGAGTTTGAGGCCAGCCTGGTCTACAAGAGCAAGTTCCAGGACAGGAACCAAAGCTACACAAAGAAATTCTGTCAAAAAAGAAAAAAGAAAAGAAAAAGAAAGAAAAAAATTCTGAGTCCCTAAGGACTGAGCGGAGATGGGATGTGAACTGAACCTTGGCTTTCTGCATCTGCAGAGTCAGAACATCAGGAACAGGGATCAGGCTCATTAGGAGAGGCAGAGCCTAGGTCCCAGCCCCAGGCCTAGCAGGCCCAGGGAACTCAGCATCCTGACTTTCATCTCCACAGTCACTTCTGTCCTGGCCCTACATGCTCATACAACAGGCCAGAAATGGTTTGGGATTCTCTCCCAACCCCCAGCTCTCCCCATCTAACCCAAGTTCACCTCAGACTACAGAAAGGTTGGGCAGACCCAGGAAGGGCCCAGGAGGGCATGGGAGCCCCCTCATCTCCAGCTGCGCCCCCCCCCAGTTGTGGTGGCTTAGGTGTCTGGGTAGCAGTCAGGGAAAGCAGGACAAAGTACGTCTTTCAAGGACAGCCTCAGGCCCCCTTGAGTCCAATCCGGCTCCCGCTCCAAAGTCTTTATAGTCGAGGGCAACAGGCTGTTCTGCAGATGGTGGGAGCTGGAGGCTCCATTCGGTAGACCAGAGACAATGCATTATAAACATTTTCAATTTGTAGTTCACTCTCCGCCAGCACTCAGACCGGGCTCCAGGAAAGGATGGATTTTAAACAGAGCTGCTCTCCCCTCACTAATGGGGTCAGAGGAGAGGGCTTAAGGCTTGCAGCCACCGGGAGAGATGAGCACTTTAGAGAGGTTCCTCGGTTCCCCTTGAGGCAAAGGGCAGGACTAGAACCCAGAACTCCTGACACCTGGCTCCACCAGCCTCCCTGGGCCCACCCTTCACCCAGGGAGACCCAGTCTGATGGCAGGCACCTAGTCGCCATCCTTAAGAAACAACGGGATGGTGAAACATC